TGAAGGGCACTAGACTCCCACATGGCTGACTATGGCTCGAGTCCTGAACCTAGAGGCTTGCTTCCTCACTCTCTCTCTCTCTTTGGGTCTCTCTTTGGAAATATTAAAATAATAATAATAAAAGAAGTTAAATAATTATTTCAAGAAAACTATAATAATGATAAATAAAATTAAGTAAATAATAATCATCTAAATTTAATCATGATATGTCCCATTTAGAAGCTCAGAGGTGAAGACTGAGGTCCTTAGCATGGCCCCAAAATTCTTCTCAAGTTGACCCCAACCTAGGCGCCCTGACTCATTGCCTTGGAACCTCTGTCCCCAACTCGTTGTCACAGGGCAAACTTTGCTCATCCTGGGAGTCTCAGCCTAAAGGAAACTTCCAACCCCTCGGGTCTCCAGTTCCGGGCTCCTGGAGCTGTCTCACAACGCTTTCTCTTCTTTTCTTGTAATTGCTTTCTTTTCTCTTGAAGGAAACAGTGCAAGCCTTAAAAGGGCAATAGCCTTTCCTCTTTGCCTCCTTCTCTGCCTCTCACTGACTTAGACCAAGTGACTGCCTGTCCTGTAGGAGATGATCAATAAATTTTTGTTGGGGGGCCGGAGGTAAACGCGGTGCTCTGCAAGGCTGACCCACACGGGAAGATTCTGGGTTCTCATCAGAAAACTTCCGCCAGTCACGTGAGTGCCCACCATCTTGGACTGGCTGAGGTGTATCGCCACACCAAGACCCTGTTGGGGGTGCCCTATTTCTCTCTTTCACACACAGATTCCTGAAATAAATAAACAAATACTTGTTGAAAGAAATTGGTCAGCTAATGATTTCAACAACGATGCTAACCGGATTAGTTCCCTAAAACCCAAATGTCCCTCTTTTCCCTCCAGTCATTAGTAAATTCAGCTTGAAATATCTGGGGCAGTGCCTCAGTTCCCCACTTCCTTCCGCTGCATGTCTGGAGCTCGGAAGCAGGTGGCTCCAGCAGACAAGTTCTGAGAATGGGGAGTGAGGCCGACTGCAGACTGACAGCTGCTGATCTTTCCTTTCGTTGATTTTCCCCTTTGCAAATGGTTATTGGCAATTGAAACTGCAAATCTATCTTCTCCCCTATGTAAATTGCATTTACATTTAAATTGTGCATTCTTCCAAAGGATGGGGTTAGTAAATAACTGGCAGATTAAACTTGAGGAGAGGAAATTGTGGCCCACATCAAACCTGAGACTCAAGTGACATCTGGCTTTTACTATTTCCGTTATTTCGGTTTAATAGCAGCATGTGGCATTAAGGGAAGAGAAATTGGATCTACATTTTAATGAAAGGAGGAAGCTCTCGGGGTTTAGATACCTTATCATGTTGAATACCTAGCCGATTGGCAATTAAAACTTGCTTCCCTCAAGAAATGGCATAAAATATCTTTGCAACCATGGAGAGAATCAGAAACCAAAAACAAGCTAATGCCAAGGACTACATGTATAAAACTGAGGGAAATGGGATGCTTCAGGCCAAGTGTTTCCGGATACCACAAAATATGAATCCTTATATAGAAAAATACTAATAGACTCACGGATGTGCTGGTGAATCTGCAAGCGAATAACCACAGAGTGCGTAGTTTGCATGCGACCAGCAACCCATAGATGCTGGTTGAAGACACTTGGTTTAATCCTTTCTCATCCTAGCTTATTTTAAATCCCCCAAATTTAACCAAAACAATATTTTAGAAATGTCTGTTTGGGGCCTGCTAGTGGCATGGTAGTTAAGGTGCTAGATCCAAACTAGCTGACTCTCTGGTTCAAGTCCTGAACCCGGCAGCTTGAAAATCACACCGGGCAGGTGTGTATGAATGCCCAAAATCCTGAGAGGAAACTGGAGGAGAAGGGATTGTGGTGTGGCCATCTACATCCCCGCCCCCCCCTGCAAGGGGGTGGTTTCTCACTTTCCCTCTCTCTCTCCCTCCAGGGAGCACACTCACCCTATAGCAAAAATCTACAAAGAAAAAAAAGAAATGCTGCTTCATCTCCATAGTCTAAATGGAAGCGGTTCCACCTGCTGGCTGCTTTTTGTTGGAGGCAATTCTGGGAAATGTAAACAACGCGCTTCTGCATCCTAGTAACCCAAGCCTATCATTTATTTGCTTTGATTGAAACAAATGTGTCAATTTTCTAAGTCTTTGTTTGGTGCTGCCAATGTTTGGATGTTGGTAAATGTTTGTATTTCATGTTTGTTTGGAAACTGATGCTCTATTGAGAAGCTCTGGAGACATAGCTCTGGAGCCACTGCCTGGGAGCCCGCATGAAGGCTTCCCAAACATCCGCCCAGAGACCTTCAGCCCTTCCTCAAAATCTGGAGAAGGCTGAACTCATAGATACCCGTGGGTGAGTGCAAATGAAACGGAGCCTCCTGAAGAAGAGATTGGATGTGGAAATTTTCTGAGGATAGGGCGTAGGAATAATGAGAATAATGGAGCCATTCATATAGTGCTTACTAAGTGGAGAATTCTTTATGTGTTTTACAACGCACTGAATCCTCACGGCAAGCCTGAGGATGACACAGTGAGGTTAGTAACTTACCTGATCTGAATCCACCCAGCTAGTAAATGAGGAGGCTGGGATTTAACTAGAGGCAGGCTGGCGCCACCCTCCCCTAGCCCCTTTCTGACGACTCCTTCCTATGCCCTGTGCTTTCTCAGTTTCATTTTGTCTGGCATAAATGTTTTTAAAATCAAAGCAGTCTTTCTTGAAAGACTCAAGGTAATAGGTGGAGAGATCTTTTTTTCTAAAACAAAATAAAGCAATAACATCTAGCGTTCTGCAGTGTAGATAATAATATCTGCCTCAGCTAGTTTCCAGGAATGTCCAGAGGATAAAATGAGGCGCTATGGAAGTGCTCTGAAAAGACCAAAGTCATCTCACTTTGCCAATATAGTGTTATTTATCTGCATTCCATCCTGACTCTTATTTTTCAAAAATTTTATTTATGTATGTATTTTAGCTTGTTACAGGGTATGTGCGCTCTCCACAGACAGAGAGGGAAGATGAGAAATCACCCTTCAGGGGAGATGGCCACACCACAGTCCCTTCTCCTCCTCCTGATTTCTGGCATACATGCACTTGCTCCTGGCCTGTTTTTCAAGCCTTTATGTCTGGGACTCGAACCATCTACTGGCCATGTGGAATCCAGCTGCCTTCACCTTGGTGCCACCTTCTGGTCCTGACTCTTATATTTTTTAAAATGAACAATCCTTGGTCAGGCTCCATGGCCTAGTGGTTAAGGAAGCTGGATCCCATATGGTCAACTACGTGGTTTGAATATTGGTCCTGGCAGCTTGAAACACACCAGGCACGTATGCGTGAGTACCCCAAATCCCGACAGGCTAGAGAAGTGGAGGAGAAGGGATTGCTGCACTCTTTTTCTGCGGGGAGGGGTATTTTTTATCTCTGTGTCTGCCTCTCTCTGATAAGTGCATGTACCCTTTAGCAAATGAAAAAAAAAATTAGCAATCCTTAACAAAAGAATATAAGCTTCTACTTTTCTATTTTCCCTAGGGTATATGGTCAAATGAGCCACTTACTATTGTGGGTCTTTTGATGGGTGGCCAAGTTTGATTTCTTTTTCTTACCAGTTTCTTGGCACTGTTTGGTTGGGTGGCATCTCCTTACTTCCTGTGCCTAAGGATGGCTCCTCTACATCTCTTGACGTGTTATCATGGCAGCCTGCCTATGAAGCCAACCAGTGCCTCCTGCTTGAATTTAAGTTGGATTAATCATCTGGTTTTCCCATCAGTCTGTTGCTATGGGGTTACTGATGTCACACTGTCAGTATTATGATTACCATAATATCTAACAGGCAAAAAGGGATTGGTTGCTAGTGGATACCCTAGGGTGAAACTCACCCAGCTTTAGTATCCAACCCAATTGTATAGACTTTAGACAACCATGTAAAGGGGTAAGTGGATTAATCATCCAGTTGGATTCCATTTGAATATTTCTCTTCCATATGTGTGTTCCCTCTAGGCAATTGTCTAGTGTCACTTGAAATTGATGAGGGCTCTCTCAGAGGTTATTTTTGGGAAGCTGGTGAAACAACAGACAGCTGTTCTCAAGAACAAATGTCACAGGATCTGCCTAAGCTAGCTTCCAGTTTAAAAAAAAAAAATAAAAAGGTGTTTTGTCCTTTTTCTTCCTAGTGTTAGGTTGTTCCCCAGTGGCCCAAAAGTGTTAATTCAGCCTCCCAAACATGTAGAAAAGGAAGACACGAACATTTACTAAGTCCCTACTACGTGTGAGGTTGTGGCATGGTCTAGGTTCCTGTCAAAGGGTAGTATGCTCTCCAGAGACAGAGAGAAGGAAAGTGAGAGATCGCCCCCCAGGGGGATGGCCATATTGCCAGCCTGTCTGCTCCAATCTCCTCTCAGGGTTTTGGGCACACATGTACATGTGCCTGGTGTGATTTTCAAGCTGCCAGATCCAGGATTGCTGTTGGTCATGTGAGAATCCAATGCCCAAAGCAGAGTTTTAAAGAGAAGAAATACCAGCCAGCAGCCGGCCATCCCTGGCCAGCCCTTCTATCCATAACGATTCATGACTTTTCTAGTTTGTATACAATGTTCTTCCTAATTAGACATTGATTGATCATCAATAAAAGCAAAGTCATTACTTAAAATTGGTCTAGATCCTCCTATGCTGAGTAATTACCTTGTGTCTGTTTTCACTGTGATATTAAAAAGCCTTGAAACGTGATAGAAATAAGGTACAAAACATAAACTTCTAAATCAAAAATCTCTGTTCAAAGTTTGACAAATGGGATTGTCTTTTTCAAGATTTTGTTAAGGAAGTAGAGGGGTCAGTTTTAGGGGATCGCAGGGTCAGATGAATAAAATGGATTAAACTCGAGGCCATGCAGATTTGGAAAGCCCTATCAAGACTTGCATAAATCTATATGAATCAATTTGGGTGCCAGGGAATGAATTGCTGACTTTTTTTTTTTTTTTCCAAATGCCAATTCAGCAATTACAAAGTCTGCTGGCAGTTAATTAAAAACTACCATCTCGTTACGCTCAGAGTTAAATTACAAGTGTGAAAACGACTACTGTTTGCACTAACTGCTCGGTACTCTCTGTACTCTCATCAAAAGGAGGGCAGGGATAAATAACTTTTATTTAACTCACTCAGCCATCTCTCTCAGCTCTTTCATATTTAATTAACTTCTTATCATCTCAGAGTTGGAGCTTTACTCAGAGCTCCTGAGCAGTAATAGAAATATTTGTTCATTTTGTCCAGATATTTTTTCCTTACAGTAGTGGAGCAGAAAAGTTAGAAATATTTGAACCCCTAGGATATTGGGGAAAGTGACACTCATCCAAAAGTTTGCTTTGAGGCAACTAATGCCAGCAGAAATTTATGGCAGAAAAAAAACAGAAAATGGAGGTTTTTGCTCTACTGCCTATGCACCTCTGAGGAGAGGGAAATCGGGGTGGAAACACTTTCGTGGATGGGGAAAGGTGTAGTGCTTATTTGGAAGGCTGTCTTAATGAATATCATGTGTCACTATTTCCAGGATTCCACTCTCAGCAAAGAGGCCAAACCTCTGTCACTATGGTGGACGTGCAGTGTCTAAGTGACTATGAGCTGCAGAAACAGCTTGAGAAGCTCGGATTCTCACCTGGCCCAATACTACGTATGTATTTAGCAAACATTCGAGACTAGTCATTGTTATTCACTAACAGCCTCCGCGGATTTATTTATTTATTTATTTTCGCCATAGGGAGCATGCGTTCATCTGAGACAGAGAGAGGGAAAGTGAGAAATCACCCTCCAGGAGGGATGGCCATGCCACAATCCCTTTTCTTCCATTTTCCTCCAGAGATTTTGGGCACACATGTACACATGACTGGCATGATTCTCAAGTCACCAGGTGCGGGACTCAAACTGTGGTCGGCCATGTGGGAGTCCAGTGCCTTTACCACGATGCCACCTGCTGGTGACACAGATTGTTTTTAAATTTATTATTATTATTTTAATTTTAATTTTTCAGAAAGATTTTTGCTATAAGGCAGGTGCGCTTGCTGGAGAGACAGAGAGAGACAGAAAGCAAAAAATCACTCCCCTAAAGGGATAGCCACCCTGTAATCCTTTCTACATTCTCTCAGGATTTTGGGCACACACACACACACACTGGAGTGAGTTTTAAGCCACTGGGTCTGGGGCTCAAACCACAGTCAACTACATGGAAGTCCAGTGACATAACTATTACACCATCTGCTGGTCCCTAGTATTATTGTTATTTTTAAATTTGCTATAGGGCACATATACTCTCCAGAGAGAGAGAGAGAGAAAGTGAGAAAGCATTCTCCAGGGAGGAGGCCACACCACAATCCTTTTCCTCCATTCTTGGGATTTTGAGCATGCGCGCATATACGCCTAGTGCGTTTTTCAACCAGATCCGGGACTCGAGCTACACAGTTAGCCAGGCAGGATCCAGTGCTTTAACCACATCACTGGCTGGTCCCATGACTTCCACAGATGTAACACAATTTACAGAAGAAGGAACATATGCAATAAAAACTATTAAAATAGAAAAGGGAAAATGGAACAGGAAATCATGAAGAGAGCAGTACACCCAGATCCTACCTACTACAGATTAGTAAGTACAGAGCTCAAGAAAAGAGACTGGTTTTCCTCAGCAGGGAGAGGTCAGTTACTTGTTATTATATGACCCTATTTTTATGCTGTGTTGTTGTTAGCATGTGCACTGAATAAACTATTCGAGTATTTGTGCACAACCTGTGTGCCCTGTTTTCAGATGCATGCAGCGAATGACATCCCTAAGTGTTAATGGAGGGAAGGCTGAGTTGGGTAGCTGTGGTGGTCTGCCCCATTTAAAAGCCATCATTAAGGCCAGCTTCACGGCCTGGTGGTTTAGGCAGCCAGAGTCCACATAACCGACTGTGTGGTCGAAGTCCTGGATCCAGCAGCTACAGAAACATGCTGGGCACATGTGCATGCATGTCCACAATTTCAAAAGGAGAGTGAGAAGGAGAAGAGATTGCAGCATGACTATTCCGCATGGGGAGCTGCTTTTTTTTCTCTCCTCCACCCTCATTTCTCTGTCTCTCTCTTGCGAGTGTATGTGACCTCTAGCAAAAAGAAAAAAAAATAACTGTGGACCCAGTCACAGTGGCACAAGTGGAAGACGCCACTTGTGGTGGTCAAGGCTGCATGGGAGGCCTGAGTTCAGTTCCTGACCCAACATAAAAAGGCTGGCTGCACTGGGGCAGCTTGTGGTCCTGGCCAACTGGGAGGCTGGGGTGGGAGCTTGCAACGTGGTGAGGCCCTGTTGGAAATCTCTCTCTCTCTCATTAATAAAGTGTTGTCATAGTTAAACAATAATGGAAGGGACAAGACTAAATCTCCCAGTTATGAAATACCTTAAGCCTGGTAAAGTCACATTGAAAAATAAAACAAGTTCATTTCTTCTTCACCTTCTTCCTCAGCTTGCACCAGAAAAGTGTATGAAAAAAAGTTAGTGCAATTGTTGGTCTCGCCTCCCTGTGCACCACCCGTGATGAATGGACCCAGAGAGCCGGATGGACCGCAGGGCAGTGATGATGGTAAAGGTTCCCCCATAAACGATAAGGCTAGACAGCAACTTTGCACTTAGTACCTTGTCGGGCATGATTTATGGAGCTTTAACTGGTGTACAGGTTGACCTGTGAAGTGGTCAAGTGGCTTGTTTGCACACAGAGCTTGGAAAATAGGCCCCTGGGCTGCAAAAGGAATCTCTGGCTCCACGTCCATATTGAACCGACTGTGTGGTCGAAGTCCTGGATCCAGCAGCTACAGAAACATGCTGGGCACATGTGCATGCATGTCCACAATTTCAAAAGGAGAGTGAGAAGGAGAAGAGATTGCAGCATGACTATTCCGCATGGGGAGCTGCTTTTTTTTCTCTCCTCCACCCTCATTTCTCTGTCTCTCTCTTGCGAGTGTATGTGACCTCTAGCAAAAAGAAAAAAAAATAACTGTGGACCCAGTCACAGTGGCACAAGTGGAAGACGCCACTTGTGGTGGTCAAGGCTGCATGGGAGGCCTGAGTTCAGTTCCTGACCCAACATAAAAAGGCTGGCTGCACTGGGGCAGCTTGTGGTCCTGGCCAACTGGGAGGCTGGGGTGGGAGCTTGCAACGTGGTGAGGCCCTGTTGGAAATCTCTCTCTCTCTCATTAATAAAGTGTTGTCATAGTTAAACAATAATGGAAGGGACAAGACTAAATCTCCCAGTTATGAAATACCTTAAGCCTGGTAAAGTCACATTGAAAAATAAAACAAGTTCATTTCTTCTTCACCTTCTTCCTCAGCTTCCACCAGAAAAGTGTATGAAAAAAAGTTAGTGCAATTGTTGGTCTCGCCTCCCTGTGCACCACCCGTGATGAATGGACCCAGAGAGCCGGATGGACCGCAGGGCAGTGATGATGGTAAAGGTTCCCCCATAAACGATAAGGCTAGACAGCAACTTTGCACTTAGTACCTTGTCGGGCATGATTTATGGAGCTTTAACTGGTGTACAGGTTGACCTGTGAAGTGGTCAAGTGGCTTGTTTGCACACAGAGCTTGGAAAATAGGCCCCTGGGCTGCAAAAGGAATCTCTGGCTCCACGTCCATATTGACACCAGTGACTCCATTGGTGGAAAGTGGGGTGGGGGGAGGACAGCCAATTTACAGATCCTTTTACTAACCAGAAACAAATCTGTATTGATTCCTTAAAACAAGAAGTCCCTACAGATAAATTCCAGGCCTCCTTTGAGGTTTCAGCCTCTGCTTTGTCTCCGTCAATAAATCTGACCATTATTTCCTTTGGATTAAAAGCTTCTGTGCCTATTAAGAGAGACGGACCAGGCTGCACTTCCCTGAGCCCCTCCTGATCTACATGGGAGCTGACAGCAGCAGTCTGTGTTGGCTGAGAGAACGGAGGGCAGCGGCCTCTGTGACACCATGCTGACCCCTGGGCTGCTGGCAGTGGCCTCAGCCCAGGTGCTCCATCCTCTCGCAGCGGTTTCTGGCTTCAGGGCTCTTAAGGGGTGACCTCGGAGAGTCCTATTTTTCATTCAACCAATATTTATTAGGGGGTTCTCTATGGGTCATAGCAAAATAATAGGAAACCACCATTTGTGGAAGACCTCCGAGGCAGTGCAGGCTTGATGGGCATTATCCCCTTTAACCCTTGAAACACTTAGTGGGAACTCAGAGGCAGGTGACTGGCCCAGCATCATTAGCTAGGAAGTGGCCCCCAAAGCTAAGTGTACATCACAATGTCTCATGAAGAGCTGGGCCGTCAGTCCTCATCGTCACTCAATGGCCAGCTCCTAGAATGGGACCAAGCGCATAGTAGGAACGTAGTGCGTGTTTGTTGAATGAAAGTGGCAGCACTGAGATTTGAACCCAATCTAGCTCCCAAGACAGTGCTCTTTCCACCCTCTACCCTACACTTTTCTCATCATTTCTGTTGAGAGAATGAACACATTACTTTTTGACTGGGTTTGATTTACAAGAAAGGACAATTTAATAGAGTGCAAATCAGTCATTCAACAACAAACCCAAGGGCCCAGGGCCCTCTGAAAGTGCCCCATAATCCTGGCTTGGAGTGGAACGAGTGCTGAGGATTTCCCTGAGGGCTTGGCAGAGCTGGCTTTGCTTGAAAGGGATGGCAAGCTTTGGGGATGGACCCCACTGACCCCTGACCAGGACAGTTAGTGTGGGTGCCTCAGGTCAAGTGACTGTCCCCCAAATGACTTCCAGCTGTCCAGGACTGAAGGTCAGAGCTGCAAAGCCAAGCTGTGTGGTCTCAAGCCAAGCCACCCTGGTTCCCAGCAGGCCACCACCTGCAGGGACACATTTATGCCAGTGCTAGGAGAAAACTGATTGGTGCCTCTGTTTGTAAGCTTTGCTGTTGCTTGAGACTGTGTCCCCTAGTGCTAGCCAGCTATAGGCCACCTGGTGAGAGGTGGCAGTTCTGACTCGACCCTGCCTTCATAATGCATTTCTATATCAATGACCAATGATTGCTACAGAGAGAAAACCCAATTCTCTAGGTCAGGGCTGAACCAGACAGACATTAGAATTTGCTCACTGGGGGAATCTCACAGGCCCTATTGCTACTAGAATGGAGGAGTGGGAAGGGAACTGATTGGGGAGGTGGCCGTGGATATTCAGCCCGGAGTGTCACAGACAGACCTCATCCTGGCGTTGGGCCGCGGAGTGTGGGCAGCTCTAGGCTGAGCAGTAGGTCATCCAAACTCTCAGTACGTTTGATTTTTTCTCATTTTCACTCATTGTCTTGGCATTGGGTAGACAAAGTTTTAATTATCTCACATAGTTTTGAACTTCCCACACTTTTTTTTTTTTTAGTTTTTGTTATAAGGGGCATACGTTTGACAAACACAGAGAGAGAGAAAATGAGAAATAACCCCCCAGGGAAGATGGCCATGCCACAGTCCCTTCTCCTCCAGTCTCAGCATTTTGGGCACACACGCACATGCACCCAGCATGATTTTCAAAAGCCATCAGATTAAAACTCAAACCACAGAGATGGCCACGTGGGATCCAGTGCCTTAACCTCTAGGCCACCTACCGGCCCACACCCACATATTTTGTACTTGAAGAGTTCATTTAAAAACCGCTCGGCTAAAAGTTGTGCTGTGTGTACCCAGGTTGATCAAAATGCTTCTACAAGGGCTTAATGTGCATGATCCCATTTAACCCTTGAAACAGCCCTTTCTGCCCCTGGCAGTCTCCCTGATTTCAAACCTTCGAGCACGGGTCTGGCTTTCCCTTCCCTGGGTGCTCTTTTGGAGACAGAGGGAGAAAACCCTCCTGCTCCATCTTGACATTCAGAGATGCACAGGGCTTGGGGCTTAGGGCTGGTCAAAAGAACAATGCAATGTGGAGAGTGGAACAGCTGCCCAGCTGAGCAGCCAGCTCCCAGACTCTCTGGGAGGGCTACCAATAGGATGCCTGCCTGCATTCCCTGGGGAAGGCCTGAGCGGATTTAGCAAAGGCCACTGCAGATCAGAACTGCTCTTTCCTCAGAAGGGCAACGCGAATTTTCTCCCCCTGACAAGAAAGCCCTGTGCTGAGAGAATCCAGCCCCGTGACGGTGGTTACCCCCTCTGCCAGCTCATATGTCCTCATGGCCTGTTCTCCTTTTGTTTCCCATGATCCAGAGCTTAATATCATTTTGAAAGGAAATATCACATTCTCAACCAAAAAAAGCAAGGAACCCAAAAAAGTATGTACAATTCTACTGTGTGACTACGTTTACACATATATTAAAAATAGGCAATAGCACTTTCCTATGTATTAAGCAAAGACACGGCAAGTCGGTGCAGTTGGGTATGGCGGTGAACTCCTAGGGAAAGGAGGGTCGTTTTAATGCAGGTTTCTGTGTTCTGAAATGATTCCCATGTTCTAGGGGAGGATTTGGAGTAACAGGGTGGCTTCTGCTCGTCCTTGAAAGAGCCACCACCTTGCTCCTCTTCATCTGTCACTCTGTCCGCTTCTCTCTACACCCAGTCTACTTTTTATTAAAGAGACACACATGCATTTTTTTTGCACCAAAATAAACTTGTATTTAAGAAAAGAATTACTTATTTAATTTTATTTTTTATTGTTTTTAAAATTTTGTCATAGGACACATGTACTTACCAGAGAGAGACACAGAGAGAGAGAAAGAAAACAAGCCTCCAGGTCCTGGACTTGAACCTTGGTTGGCCATGTGGGAGTCCAGTGCCTCAACCACCGAGCCACCTGCTAGCCCCTAAACTTGTACTTTAACTCCATTTCCCACAAATTTTTGAAGTCCTCTTGCACACCACTATGCTTGGCTGTAGGCTCAACATGAACACAGAACAATGTGAATTCCCATTCTCTCCCTCTCCACGCCACCAATTTGCAGTATGAGGCCAAGTACGTGAAGGGTAACAGGTGTCAGGGTGGGGCCTAGCTGGTTTGGGGTCCCTGTCTTCCACTTACACGTGTGTGACTTGAGGAAATTGACGAACAGACCTAAACTCCATAGAGCAGTGGTCCCCAGTGTTTCTGGCACCAGGAACCGACTTGGTTAAAGATAATTCCTCTATGGATGGGGGACACTTTGGTCTTGAGATGACCCAAACACACCGCATCTGCTGTGGACCCCATTTCTTCTGCTATCATATGGCAATATGTAATGAATCAATAGGGTCCACGCTTGCATGAGAATCTGCTACTGTGTGGGACAGGGATGGGGGTCCGGGGGACCATGGACAGGTCCCAGTCTGTCCCAACTGTTCTTTATGCCTGATTAGCTTTTCATTTTTCCTACTCTCCACCCTCATTTTTCTTCCTGTGAAATTCTGTGATCTTTTAAGGACCTCAAAGGCCATTCTTATGAATTCCTTTAAAATGACATTTTATCCCTGCTCACTAGCTGTCACAGGGTCTTGTACCTAGTAGGAGTTCAAAGCTTGCCTAACCAAATTTACAAAACAGTGCCAATGACACGTAGGTTTGCAAATATGGTCTAGTATTTAAATTCCTTGCTGAGTTTAAATAAATGACAAGGAAACCTCAAGTAACCATTGCTGCAATGCATTGTAGCTTAGCTGTCCAGCTAAACATAATTCAAATTTGATGAAGCAATTTTGATGTCATATCAAATTTTTAAAAAAAGATTTTTAAAAATCTTCATAGGTTTATTAAAGGAATCCTTTCCATTCAGTAAACCTGAATTCTACAGAAAACCCTTTTGTATAGTTCTCGCAAAGACATTTACAGTAGAAAAAGCAGCCTGAGTATTTAAAATGCATCAGGTGGGACCAATGTCCTTCAGTCTTTGCTTTCTGTAAGCCTGAAATAAAACCACATCAATATTTTGAATTGGCAATAGAATTAAATAGAAAGGTTATGATGGCGTAAAATCTTTTGATCTGAGGGGTTTTTGATTCTCAGAAGGGCCTCAAGACATCTGTTCAATTTTAAATTTAAAAGTGAATGTAAATAAGCATTTAAATGTCCATGTAAAAGGTGGGAGAAAGTGTGTTTATTGAGACATTTGTCTAACACTATAGACTTTAATTACTTAAGAGCAGTGTTCTGTACCTAACAGTCCACTAAGTGCCAAGAAAGGTAGTATTTGCGTTTCTTTAAAACACCATATTTTTTCTCATTTTAGTAGGTTTCTAGAGGAATTCAAGGCACTTTGAGATTTGGACTATGTCAATGTCTGGATTCCATTGAAGGCTTTATGTGTGTGTTTTATCAGATCGTAAATGCAATCAATTGGGTTTGGTCATTAAGACCACTCAGAAAATCAGGTCACTTTTTATTTATTTATTTATTTGTTTGTAAATTAGAAAGTAGCTAGACATAGCTTATCCTTCAAATGAGGGAGTGGGGAGTTAAGTCAATGTGTGTAACTCAGACTCTAAGCTTCTTTCACCAAGGTGGGGGACGGGATTTGGAGCTGGTAGGAAGGCAGACTGGTCAGCCTAAGGTGAGGTCTGGAGTAAAGTGACTACATAACTTGTCATCCCAACCAGAGCGCTTGCTGTTGAGAACGAAAGGGGACGTAACCAGAAGGGATGCCAGAACACAGGCACAAACTGAGCATGTCCTGGGCACCGGGGGCTAACGGTCACCCTGGGTCTGGAGTCACTCTCAGGGTTTAAGTGTTGCAACTGCACACTCCATCCTGAGGGCGACTGCCTCCAGGGTGCACAGGGCAGCCGCCCCTGGGTGCTCCTAACCCCTCCTGGACCCTTTTCGGTGTTCCCTTATTCTCTCCAAGCATGACATGCCCTTTCTTTCAGAATTACAGCCAGTCTGTGTCCCCGCGGGGAGCCCATCTTGCTGACTACCCTACCCACTCCGCTCTGAATTTCTCAAAATAGGGGTCTGGGCCTAGCAACCCGCTTTCTTGATCAGCCTCCACCCCAGAGCTTTGCTGTAGGTTGCAAAATGTTGAAAGTAAAAGCCGATGACTGACTCCTCTTCATTTGACTCAGTGCCAGGCACATGGTCAGGCGGTGAGAGGGCAGTTACTCGTCCCATCGGCTGCACTGAAGGAACGCTTTGTCCTGTATTGACGTTGATGATTGCTCTCTGAATTCCTATTTGGCCCATTAGTTTTTCTCTTAGACACGCCTGGATGTATTTTCTTGAGTGACAACACTTAATGTCATAGTGAAAGGATGACCCTCCTGAAAATGGTGGCAATAGAGCTTCCAGCCCTAGGTCTCAACCTGGAACCCAACTCCTATTCACTGGATATAGGACATGGTGATTGACCTTCTCGAGGAAGAAAACAGACGCAGAAAGAGACCAATTTCCTGTCCTGCAGAAACTTAAAAATTAGCTCTGGAGGGAACCAGCAGTTAGCGTAATGGCTATGTCATTGGACTCCCACATAGTCGACTGCGGTTCGCGTCCCGGACCCAGTGGCTTAAAACTCATGCTTGGCGCGTGTGCGTGCGCACCCGGGATCCCGAGAGGAGAATGGAGGAGAGGGGATTGCGGTGTGACCATCTCCCCTGAGGGGTGATTTCTCGCTTTCTGTCTCTATGTCTCTCTCTGACTGTCTGGTGAGCGCACGCGCCCTATAGCGAAAATCTCTCCAAAAAAAAAAAAAATGAGCTCTGGAAACGAACAATGTGCTTATCGAAAACAGGGACTCTAAAGCCAGCTTACAGGGGTTCCAATCCCAACATTGTTGCCAATCTGGACAAGACCTTTGACCTCTGTCTGTCTTAGTCTCCTCACCTCCTAGAGTACTGTGAAGTCCCAGTCTGGAAACTATGTAGAGTAGTAATAGCACATACTAAGATCTATTTAAGAACAAATAAAAACTATTATTATCATTAATATTATTGCTTTATGAAAAGCATGATATATTTTTTAAAGATTTATTTATTTAATTTTATTTGTTCATTCATTTATTTTAATTTGATGAGAGATAGAGAAAGTGAGAAAGCAAGCCACCAGGTCCAGGACGTGAACTGTGGTCGGCCATGTGGAAGTGTCCAGCACCTTAGCCACCACCACACCACCCACTGGTCCCTGAAAAGCATGATATTTAATTATCTGTAATACAAAGCAATATATTTAGTGAAAAACAATATAGTGGAAAAGAATCTTTATTATTGAACTCCTAGCTGCCACGGGGTATGATCTATCAAAGTATCTACCAATACATTTATATAGTTAGATGTCTACCGTTCAGTTAAAGATTGCTTTCTGTAAATGCTGTGTGTTGAATGAGGCAGAATGAGTTTTTAAAAAGTCACATGTGCCCTCCCTGTATTTATGATTTCTTTTGATAAAATTAGGAATTATTTATTTAATTTTATTTATCATTGTTATTATTCTTTTTTTAATTCACTAGGGAGAGACAAAAACAGACAGGGAAAGTGAGAAAGCAAGCCACCACGTCCAGGACTTGAACCACAGCTGGCCATGTAGGAGTCCAGCACCTTAGTCACCATGCCACCTGCTGGCCCCTATGACTCCTTTTTAATCTTTTTTTCTTTTTCTTTTTTATTTTTAATTTGGTATAGGGCACATATTTTCACTGGAGAGAGACAGAGAGTGAGAAAGCACCCTTTGGGGGGATGGCCACATCACAATCCCTTCTCCTCCATTCTCCTCTCAGGATTTTGGGCATGCACACACTCAGTGTGTTTTTCAAGCTGCTGGGTCCAGGACACAAACTGAGCGGGTGGTCATGTGGGATCCAGCAGCCTTAACCACCATGCCACCAGCTAGTACTCTCCTTATTCCTATATTCAAATCTCCCCCCACCTCTTTAAACATAAATAAATTTTTTTGAAATAGTTTCAAACTTTCAGAAAATGTCAAAAATAGTACAAAGAACTCCCAGATCCTTTCTTCAAGATTCCCTAGTCATTACCTTGTGCTATCCTAGCTGGGTATACATGCACCCCTACCGCTGCCTCTTTCTGAACAAGTTGAGAGCAAACTATAGACATGAAGCCCCTCCAGCAAGAATTCTTCCCACCTGCCAAGGACACTACCTACAAAGCCACCATGTGATACTCAGTACTGCCTCAGTCCTCAGCCCCCCTTCCAGCCTCACAGAAAGTCCTTTTCATTCAGTGAGTTGTATCCAGTGAGGTTATTATTTAATGCTCGAGGTGTCCCAGATTTGGCCATTGAGAGCCCCTTCAACATGGATAGTGTGAAGGCCAGTAGGTAGCTTGGTGGTTAAGGCACTGTATTCCCACATGGCCAACTGTGGTTCGAGTCCCAGACCTGGCAGCTTGCTTTCTCACTCACCCACCCACCTCTTTCTCTCTCTGTCTCTCTCTGTACATGTACCCTATAGAAAAATTAAAAAAAAAAAATTAAATTAAATTAAATTAAATAGGGGCCAGCAGGTGGCGTGGTGGTTAAAGGTTCCGGACTCCCACATGGCCTACCATGGTTCATGTCCTGGACCTAGTGGCTTGCTCTCTCACTTTCCCTTTCTCTCTTTCTGTCTCTCTCTGGTCAAATTAAAAAATAATAATAACAAATGGAATTAAATAAATAAATAAGTCTTTTTTAATTAAATAATTATTTTTAAAAATGGACACTGTCCCTTGGACGGGTTCTCATCCTCCTTTGAGCACTCTTTTAGTTTCTGGTACAAAAAGATGGCTTATACTTCCCTGGTACGTTTCCTGCCCCAGGAGGCCTGGTTGGTTCCTTGTAGTGCAGGATAGGATTTTGAAACCAAGATCTAGGCCTTTGGTGAGCTTCTTCCGACTGGGCGTCATTGCTTCTAGACCCTTCCATAGGCAGAGCGAGAGCACAGATCTGTATCTGTATCTATGTACACACACTGTGTGTACATAACTATTTTCATATATGAATGTATAAAATTTAAAACCATGCGTTCTTACTGATCTCCAACTATAGGCCACGACTTCCATGTTCTTAACCACTCCCTTTCTCTGACAGTGATTCCATTATTCATAATATAAGGGGACTTCTAAAAGTTCATGAAAATATGGAATTAAAGTATAAGTTTATTTTGGTGCAAAAATTTTTGTAAATCTACACAGTTTTTTCATAATACACATTTTGCATGAACTTGCGGAAGTCTCTTTGTCTATCTCTCTTCAGCTCATTTTCGAATTTGCTCAGGATAACCAGTCTCCCAATATCAACCCCAGGAACCTCCTTCTCGGCACGACCCCCATCACCACCTCCAGGACAATGGAACACAGCACTACTTCCATGTGGCTGTCCCCTCACTGCCCTCTTCCCTGGCCGCAGGGCTCACTAAAGCCATCATGCTGCCCCCACCACTCCTGCTCTAACTCTCAAACCACCTGGCACCCCGATATCCCTGAGCCTTCCCGCTCAGTCTCTTTGGCCTCGAGGCAGGCTGACACTCGTGTCAAGTCCCCTCAGCCCTGCTCCCCCAGCACAGGACACACGGAAACCCCAGGGGAGGACAACGAAGGGGGAGGAAAGCTTCATGTCTCATTTTTGTTTTCAGTTCTTCGTTTTGTTTCAATGTCATTGTGCCAACACTTTAATAGAATTTTTACTCCCCACTCCTCAATTTCTATCATCACTCCTAACATACCTTCTAGGCCTAAAATACAATTCCGAGGATCTACCCCAATCCTGCTCCAGGAAGGCTCCGCATAACCAGGTCATGTGTATTAAAGACCTACGATTAAGCGCATGGCTGGGATAGCATATAATGACTTTAGAAGACCTGATATTAAACGTCTCTGTAACAGTTTCCTAATTAATCTAAAAACATCCTTACTCCCGGTAGGAGTTGTATATTCCAGTTGGGTCAAAGTGAAGAGTAAATTACATATTCTGTAACTACTTAATAAGTCCTTTCTTCTTACCTTTGACACGTGCTAATAGGAGCTAAATGCCAACTTTACAGGGACTGTAATTTAACATTTTTCTTGTAAAAATGCTGACCTCCTGGGAGATATGCTTAATAATCAATGTGTCTTGATCTTATTGATTCCGTGTCGATTTTCTTCTGTGTAATAGAACCCAGTTTTTGAAATACGAAAGCAGCAAGAAGAAACAGTGAAACCGAACTGTGATTATAACAATTCCAGGATGATAGCAAAGGTAAATTTGTTTATTTTTATAAAACTGAATTACAGGGGCCGGCAGGTGGCATGGTGGTTAAGAGTGCTAGAGTCCCACATGACCAATCACAATTTGAGTCCTGGACCTGGTGGCTTGCTTTCTCACTTTCCCTCTCTCTCTCTCTCTCTCTCTCTCTGGTTGAATTTAAATAAATAAATAAATAAATAAAGTTAAGTGATATCATCCTTTAAAAAGTAAACTGAATCATGAACAATGATATTGTCCTCTGTAGGAAAAATATGGTTTTGTTTAGAAATCTCAACTTTCTTCTCCCTTATATCAAAGAATATATCCTTAGCTACGGTAAGTTATATTGGCTTTGAATATAGGTATTTGTTTCCATTTAGGAGAGGAGCTTCCTGGTATACCGCCCATGTGAGCATAGCTGAGCTATTTTAATCCCTTGGGACTTGTCAGGGCTCTGTGGACACCAGGCCCAATTCATCGCAATTCACAAGTCCAGGCATAATTTATAATTATTGATCATAACTTTCTGTCTGAAAGGCTTCTTGGAGGAGGCTATTTGGTTCATCACACAGATAAGGAAACGGGCAGAAAGGGGATATGACTGGTCCAAGACCACAGAGAGGATTAGAACTAAAATCAGAAATAGAATTCCAATCTCTTCCTTTCCATTCTATTGCCCCTCTCCTCTATGTCCTCCGGCCAATGGGGAGGAAACCAGACCAGGCACCTGAGTGAGGAAATAGCTCCCCCCAGTGTCCTTTCCATTGAATTGCAAAAGGACGTGGGACATGGGCCAGAGAGATGTGAAGACTGTTGATTGCTTTGGAATGAGAGTTCATCGCAGGCACTTTTGAGCACACTTCTGATCACACCTGCAAGTCATGGCACAGAAATCAACACAATTAGAAATGGACTGACATAACTACTGATAGGTAGCTGGAATTTTCCCAAATTGAGAGGAAAACAATTTGAATCTGGAAACCTTCTTGACACTTTATTATAAAATATCTTATGTGTTCACAAAGGAATGAAGGATTATAAAATTAGCCATTGAATTCCCACTCCAGAGATTAAAAACGGAATCATTGATAAATTAGTTGAAGACCTCCATGTATCCCGCCTGGATCATCCCCTTCGTTGCTTTCCCCCAAGATTACCCCCATTCCTGTATGTTCTACTTACATTCACTTCTTTTTTCTTTATACTGTTCACAAACTTTAGTTTTTCATGGTTTTAGATTTTATTTCAAGGATATCATAATATACATTTTTTAAATGGAATTTCTCTATCATTCAGCATTATGTTGTAAGCTTATCTCCTATAATAGCTCCAGTTCATTCATTCTTATTGCTACATAGAATTGTTGTAGAAACATATTTATTCATTCCCCATTGGCTGGATATTGTTTTTTTTTTTTTTTTAACAAGATGTCGTACATGACTCACTGTGTAGACGTGCAAGAAATTTCTTTTCCCCTGATGGCACGGTTGTACCTAGGAGCAGAACTGCCAACGTGAAGGGTCTATGCATCTTCAATTTTAAAGATTTTGCTACATTGTCCCACCAAGTGGTGACACATTCTATTCTCCTACTAGTAATATATTGAAAACTCTAAATCTTCAAACTTTTGTATTGCCACATTTCTGCGAGTCTGATGGATGTGGGCCGGTATTTCACGATCATAACTTGTATTTCTTCAGTACTAATAAGGTTAGACACATTTATCCGTCATTTCTGGTTACTTACCAGTGAAATGCCTGTTCATGTCTCTTGCCCATTTTTTATTAAGTTGTTTATCTTTTTCTTATTAACTGAGCTCTTGGCATATGTTGGATGCCAATCTTTTGTGTGGTACATATCTCTTAGCGGTTGGGCTTGTCTTTTCACTCTCTTCTTGGTACTTTTTACTTTTTTTAATGTATGTATTTTTGGTGGTTTTTATTTTGAAATTATTTCAAAATGTATAAGAAATTTTCAGAAAAGAAACACTCTACAACTTTCATCCAGATCCACTGATTTTAACATTTTAATGTAATCTATCATTTTATTTTAAACTATTTGAAATTACATTGTAGACACGATCTTTAACCCTCTCCCCCAAGTTTCAGTATGTTTTTTCTTAGAATGAAAACGTAAAGTTATTGGGACCAGCAGTTGGCGTAATGGCTATGTCGCTGGACTCCCATGTAGTCAACCGCACTTCACGTCCCGGACCCGGTGGCTTAAAACTCACGCCGGGCGTGTGTGCGTGTGTGCCCAAGATCCCAAGAGGAGAATGGAGAAGAAGGGATTGTGGCGTGGCCATCCCCTCGGAGGTTATTTCTTGCTTTTTGTCTCTCTGTCTCTCTCTGTCTGTCTGGCGAGCGCACACGCCCTATGGCAAAAACTTCTAAAAAAAACCCCATAAAGTTATTCACTTATGTAATAACAGTACAATGAGAAGAATCAATTTTTAAAAATAATTATTTTATTTTATTTTTAAATTTTAATTTGTTCAGAGAGGGATGGGGGGTGAGAAAGCAAGCCACAAGGTCTGAGACTCAAACCGTGGATGGTCATGTGTGAGTCCAGCACCCTTAACTACCATACCACCTGCTGGCCCGAAGAATCAGTAATTTTTAAAAATTGAGTTAAAACTCACATAACGTAAAATTAACTATAACATTTTAAAGTCCACAATCTGATAACATTTAGGACATTCACAATGCTGTAAAAAATCACCTCCATCTTCATTCCAAAACATTTTCATCACTTCAAAATAAGACTCAATACCCATTAAGTAGTTCCTCTGCAGTCTTCTCTTATCCCATCTTGGCAGTTACCATTATGCTATCTGTTTCAATGGATTTACTTCTTCTGAATATTTCATATAAAAGCTATTGTTCAACATTTGATGTTTAATGTTTGACCTTCACTTAGCATAAGGTTTTTGAGAATCATCTACATTGTCACATATATTTGTATCAGCACTTCATTCCTCTTCATGACTCAGTAATATTCTATTGTATGTACATACCACAATTTATTTATTTATCCATTCGTCGATGGACATTTGGGTGCTTTCCCCTTTTGGCTGTTGTGAGTAGTGCCAATACGAACACTTGTGTTCAAGTACTTGAGTACCTGACTTGAACTATTTGGATGTGTACCTGGAAGTAGAATTGCTGGGTCACATGGTAACTCTATGTTTAACTTTTCTGGAGAACCACCAAACCATTTTCCATAGTGGATGCACCATGTACACCCCACCAGCAGTGCATGAAGTTTCCCATTTTTCCACATCCTCATCAACATTTGGTATTCCTCCTTTTTTAAAAAGAATTATTTATTTAATTTTATTTGGTCATTCATTTGTTTTAATTTGACCAGAGAGAGACACAGAGAAAGAGAGGGAAAGTGAGAAAGAAAGCTACCAGGTCCAGGACTCGAACCATGGTCAGCCATGTGGGAGTATCCAGTGCCTTTACCACCACACCACCTGTTGGCCCCTTCCCCCCTTTTTAAAATAGTGATATCTATTAGTGGTATCTAATTGTGGTTTTGATTGCATTTTCCTAATAACTGATGATGTTGAGCATCTTTTTATGTGATTATTGGCCATTTTTTAATTTTTGGAGAAATGTCTATTTAAAACCAGGTTGTCTTTTTGTTGTTGAGTTCTTTATGCATTCTGAATAAAAGATCTTTATCAGATATATGATTTGCAAACATTTTCTTTACTTTCTTGCTAATGTCCTTGGAAGTTTTCAGAAGTTTGATTGTGTTATATTTTGGCATGGATTTCTATAGATTTATCCTGTTTGGGATTCACTCAACTTTTTGAATCTGTAGATTTATGTCTTTTGCCAGTTTGAGGACATTTCCAGTCGTTACTTTTTAAAATACCTTTTTAGCCCTACCTCATCATTATCTCCTTCGGGAACTCTGATGATTTGATGTTATGTTTTATAGTCTTTTTTTTTCCCCCAGATATTTTTGCTATAAGGCTTGTGCTCGCCAGAAAGAGAGAGACAGAGAGACAGAGAGCGAGAAATCACCCCTAGGGGGATGGCCACACTGCAATCCCTTTCTCTTCCATTCTCTTCTTGGGACTTTGGGTGCACACGCACATACACCTGGTGTGTTTTAAGCCGCTGGACCCAAGACTTGAACCACAGTAGACTATGTGGGAGTCCAGCGATGTAACTATTATGCCAACTGCTAGTTTCCTTTTATTATAGTCTCAAAAGACTTTAGGACTCCTCTTTCTTTTTCTTCCAGTCTATGTTCTCTCTGTCACTCTGTGTGGGTAATTTATATAGTTCTATCTTCATATTCATTGAGTCTTCCTCTATTCTCTCCATTCTGCTGTTGAGCCTAGATAGCGAGTTCTTTTTATTCTGGTTGTTCTTTTTTGTTTTTTTTTCAGTTTTAAAACTAATGCTTGTTTTTTTTTATATTGATGCATTCTACTTCTCTACAGAGTTTGCATTTTTTTTTCATCTGCTTTAAACATATTTTTATTGTTCATGAAAGCATTTTCTGACGTGCTTTAGAATCCTGGTGAGATGATCCCAACATCTGAGCCATCGTGCTGGTGGTGCCTGTTGTCTTTTCTCACTCAAGCTCTGGCACGCCTGCCTTAACTCTGTTTTAGCAGACCTCCCTTGACTCCACACTCACGGGGGAAGAGGGACACTGACTTTTTTCGGTCACATGGGGGTTAGAGTCCAAGTTCCCCATGAGACCCCCTGGGTGTGTGGGGGGCTCCTTACTGCTGAGTTGCTGGGGAGCTCCTGGTGGGGAGCAGAAGGGCCTGGCACATGGGGGTGAAAGTCCAGGCTTCTCGTTCACTCTTGCTGGTAGGGTGGAGGTGGGCTGTGTGGATGGAGGAGGGCAGTTATTGTCAAAAAGTTTTCTGTCTTACTAGGCTGCCCCTTTCCTCGTCCTTTGGCTTTTCCGGGGGCTTTTTTCGGACTCCACCTATTGGCGTTTGCAGGTTATCCACCTCTCCGGCACCCAGTCCAGGACACGTGAGGTAAAAGGAAAAAACAGAGACCTATCACCTTATCATTCCTTGGGCCTAAGGTCCCTCGCCTGTTTGCCTTCTCGCCACCTTGCAGAGTCTTCTGGTGTCTGTTTTATAATGTCCGGGGGTTTTGCTGCACTTAGCAAAAGAAACTGGGAGAAGTCCATCTGCCCTGATTAATCCCAGTATGACTTTTGAAAAGCCCACCTTTTCTTTTCTGACCTGCCATGTTACTTCCTGTCATATACAAGGAGGGATGTGCCTTCCGAAAATTCATGGAAAACACGTATTATGGAAAAGCTATGAATGGCTTTCAGATTTTTTTGCCTCAGAATCAATTCATATTTTAAGTCCATTTCCCCTGAACTTTTTGAATTCCCCTCATATCAAGTTTCCATATATACATAGGTATTTTAATGTCTTTACATTTACTGGAATTTTCCTTAGTCTGTTTCAATAACATTTTATAATTTTCTCAATAAAGCTTATGCTCATCTTTTGCTAGCTTTATTACTAGGCAGACTTAATTTTTTTGTTGTTGGTATTAATAACTTCTAAAGTACATTTTAAATAGTTTGCTACTGGTATGAGAAATGAAGCTGACTTGTATATTCATCTTTTTTTTTAAAGAATTATTTAACTTTATTTATTATTATTATCATTGTTATTTTTCAGTTTGATCAGAGAGAGACAGAGAAAAAAAGAGGAAATGAGAAAGCAAGCCACCAGGTCCGAGACTTGAACCGTGGTCAGCCATGTGGGAGTCCAGCGCCTTTAACCACCATGTCACTTGCCGGCCCCTATATTGATCTTATAACAATGAAATCTTTGAGATTATAGTAATTTTTCTGTAGATTCTATTGTAGTCTGGTTCATATATCTTTAATTTATTTTATTTTACTATTCTGGCTAAAACCTTTTTATTACAATATTGAATACAAGTGATAATAATGGGCATTCTTTCCTTGGTCCTGATTTTAAAAGAAATACTTGTAATGTTTTGCCTGTGAGTATGGCTTTTGGGGTAGGCTTTAGAAGATAACTTTTATCAAATTAAGGAGGTTCCTGTTCTGTTCCCAGTTTACTTCTAATTTTTTTTTCCAGAGAGGTTTTTTGTTTGTTTGCTTGTTTTTTGCTATCGGGCACATGTGCTCACTGGAAAGATACAGAGAAAGAAAGTGAGAAATCACCCCCCGGGGGGATGGCCACGCTACAATCCCTTCTCTTCCATTCTCCTCTCAGAATTTTGGGCACACATGCACAGGTGCCCTGTGGAGGTTTTTGTTTTTTTTTTTTAATAATTACTTTTTAATTTAATTTTATTTATTCATTCATTTATTCTTAATTTGAGCAGAGAAAGACACAGAGAGAGATAGAAAGAAAGAGGGAAACTGAGAAAGCAAGCCACCAGGCCCAGGACTCAAGCCATGGTCAGCCAACACCTTAACCACCTGCTGGGTCCATGAGCAAAATCTTTTAATTTTATTTATTCATCCTGTGGAGTTTTTTAAGCTGTGGGGTCTTGGACTTGAACCACGGTTGACTACGTGGGAATCCAACCATGTAACCATTATGCCATTTGCTGATCCCTAAAAAAAATATTTATTTATTTCTTCCATGAGCAAGAGAGACAGGGAGAAATAGCACCTCTGTCAGGTCCTGTGCCTTGTTCTGTCCCCAGTCTTCAGCCAGCCCCAATCATGAGCACTCACTTACCTGGTGTACTCAGGGAGGTCTCCAGACTTGAACTGGGAACCTTTCCATGTAGGATTGTCTCACAGAATGTCATGTTTTACTGCTATGCCAACATCTGGTCCATAGAGGAGGTTTTTAAAGAGATTTTTGCACTCACTGGAGAGACAAAGAAAGAGGGACAGAAAGAAAGTAAGAAATCACCCCCCAACCCCCAGGGGGATGACCATGCCACAATCCCTTCTCCTCCGTTTTCTTCTTGGAATATTGGGAATGTACACACTTGGCCTGGCGTGAGTTTTAAGTCGCTGGGTCAAGGATTTGCAGGACAAATCATTTAATCCCTGAGTCTTAATTTTCTCATCTATAAAATGGTGACTATAATGATTTCCTTCTGGAGTTGTTATAAAGAGTAAACAAGGGAGGAGCCAGCAGACGGGTGGTGGTTAGGGCATTAGATTCCCACATGGCCAACTGTGGTTCAAGTTCTGAACATGGAGGCTTGAAAATCATAGCAGGTGCGGATGGATGTGTATGCGAAATCCCAGAAGGAGAATGGGGGAGAAGGGATTGCAGTCACGGACTTCGAGGCTACCCTGCCCAGGCTGAGTTCTGCTTCCACCCCCTCAGCTATGCCACCATGGGCAAGCTGCCTAAACTCCATGCCTCAGTTTTCTTATCCACAACACAGGTACAATAAAAGTCCCTTCCTCATGGGGGGTTTGAGACATTGTCTGAGATTATCCTTGGGCGTGAATCGAATGGTGCCTGCCACACGTAAGCACTAGCTGGTACTACAGCGAAACACGGCCTCTCGGGCGGCGTTCTCTGCCACGCTACATTTATGACAGCTATGGCCGGTAATGTGCTTCAGGCCTTGGGAGTCTGGATTAGTGGAGTTTTCCGAGAGTGGAGGGAAGAAGCTAGAGAAGCAGAGGAGGCCTCACATTGCACAGCCCTGGGCTCTGAAGGCTTCGCAAACACAGCCGCCTTTGCAGATCCTGGTCCTGGGCATCGTGAGACAGGAGGAAATATATTATATATCCCCTGGGCACCATTCCCCTCGCTGAGCCATGGCTTTAATGAACACCAATATTTTTCAGTTCCTCTATAAATGTTGTTTATAGAGAAAATCACATTATAACAGCATTAAAGAAATTTCCTTTGAAGATGAAATGTAAATCAACTACAAACACACCACTTGATGCAAAATCTGATGTCGTTTTTTCAATTTCCCTCTAGTTTTTGTTTATGTGCAAACACAGTATATGTTTATACAGGTGACATCACTGCGTATGATTTTACACTGTTGCTGTTTAACACTAATCAATACCCATTTCCCCGTTACACAGTCTCTATGATAATTATTGTTGTTGGATGCACAGTCAAATGAACAGGTCATAATTATTTCATTTTTAGAAATGAAAATCTCCACTTTTTTTAAGTTTCACTGTAGAGCACATGTGCTTGCCAGAGAGAGAGAGAGAAAGAGAAAGAGGGGAAGTGGGAAATCACCCTCAGGAGGATGGCCTTCCTTCAGTCTCTTCTCCAGTCTCTTCTTGGGGGTGTGGGCATGCACACACACACACATGCTCTGTGTGATTTTTAAGTCCCTAAGTCCCGGACTTAGTCCCGTACCGTACAATCAGCCCTGTGGAAGCCAGGACCTTAGCCTCCACACCACCTGCTGGCCCCAAAATGACCACTTTTTACATAGTAAAAGGAGAAGAATTCTATAAATGAATGATACAAAAAAGAAATTATAGAAGAAGAGGAGGCCTGGCCACAATGGTGTGAGCTGCTGTGACATTGTGCTCCTCAGGCTGGGACCACATGGAAGGACCAAGTTTGAGTCCTGGTCTATCCTAAAGTCTGGGCATGGCAGTGTGCTCCTATGGTCCCAGTGACTCAGGAGGTTGGTGACATGTGCCTGTAATCCCAGAGGTGGGAAGGCTGAGGCAGGAGAACTGTGAATTCAAAGCTGGCCTGGGCAACACTGTGAGACCCGTGAAGTCTAAGGAAGGAGCTAGCATACCAGCATACAGGCTTTTAAAAAAACATGCTGGGGGCTGGCCAATGGCTTGGTGGTTAAAGTAGATGGATTCCACATGGCCGACAGTGCAGTTCAAGTCCCAGACCTGGTGGTTTGAAAAACCCGCCAAGTGTATGTGTGTACAAAACCCTGATGGGAGGATGGAGGAGAAGGGATTATGGCATGGTCATCTCCCACAGGGGATGCTTTCTTACTCTCCCCTCCGTCCAGCAAGCATATGTGCAAATTAAAACAAAACACCATACTGTACCTCACAAAGAAGTAAAACAATTATACATAAATCAGAAATCATAATAAATTTTCAGAAGAAAAATAAAGCCAGGCACGGTGGCACATACCTATGGTCTTGGCTGGGAAGCTGAGGCAGGAGGATCTCAGTGTGGCAAGGCTGTCCTGAAAAAAAGAAAAAGAAAACGAAGAAAATAAAGACCTAAATCTTTTTATGGCAGGAGGGGAGAAAAAGGAGAGTGTATTTTATTGCCTAAGAGCTGTAAAATCCTATGATTTTATTTTGTAACAGATTTCTACCCCAAATGCTTTATTTAACAAATCTATTTTTAAGTTTAAGAGAATTAAAAAGAAGCATGTGATGGGTTTGTAGAGGTTCCTTATCGTATCGTCTGCTTTTTTATTTTTTTAAGAATTATTTATTTATGGGAACCAGCAGTTAGCGTAATGGCTATGTCACTGGACTCCCACGTAGTCGACCGTGGTTCGCGTCCCGGACCCGGTGGCTTAAAACTTACGCTGGGCGTGTGTGCGTGCGTGCCCAAGATCCCTAGAAGAGAAGGGATTGCGGCGTGACCATCCCCCCTGGGGGGTGGTTTTTTATTTATTTATTATTTATTTAAGAGGATTTTGCTATAGGGCGTGTGCATTTGCCAGGAAGACAGAGACAGACAGAGTGATAGAAAGCGAGAAATCACCCCCCCAGGGGGGATGGCCACGCCATAATCCTTTCTCCTCCATTCTCCTCTTGGGACCCTGGGCACGCACGCACATGCACCCGGCGTGAGTCTAAGCCACCGAGTCTGGGACTCAAACTGTGGTCGACTACATGGGAGTTCAGCGACATAGCCATTACGCTAACTGCTGGTCCCAGAATTATTTATTTCATTTCATTCATTCGTTCGTTTTGTTGTTGTTGTTGTTGTTGTTTTTAATTTGGGCAGAGAGGGACCAGCAGTTGGCATAATGGCTATGTCACTGGACTCCCATGTAGTCGACTGTGGTTCAAGTCTCAGACCCAGTGGCTTAAAACACGCCAGGGTCATGTGCGTGTGTGCCCACGATCCTGAGAAGAGAATGGAGGACAAGGGATTATGGCGTGGCCATCTCCCCTGGGGGGTGATTTCTCATTTTCTGTCTCTCTGTCTCTCTCTGTCTTTCTGACGAGCGCACATCCTCTATTCTCAAAAAAAAAAATTGACCAGACACACACACACAGAGAGAGAGAGAGAGAGAGAGAAAGCTACCAGCTCTGGGACTCAAACTGTGGTTGGTCATGTGGGAGTGTCCAGCGTCTTACCCACCACACCACTTACTGGTCCCAGTATTGTCTACTTTTGTACATGTTTAACATTTTCCATAAGTAAAAAGTTTTTAAAAGAAGAATTTGCTTAGAGCCAGCTCATGGTGTGGTGTTTGAGGTGGCTGGATCCCACGTGGCCAACTAAATGGTTCAAGTCCTGGACCCAGCAACTTGAAAAATATGCCAGGTACATGTGTGTGTATGCCCAAAATCTCAAGAGAAGGATGGAGGAGAAGGGACTGTAGCATTGTCATCTCCCCTGGGAGGGTGATTTCTCACTTTCTCTCTTTCTATCTCCAAGTGCACTTGCCCAATAGCACGACTATTAAAAAATAAAGAATCTGCTTATAAAAGATTTTTCCAACACCCTTAGAAGGAGTTTAAAATATCTCCTGGGGAGCAGGCCACCACTTGCCCACATGGCCCCTTTGAGGGCCTGTTTTGGAGTACCCATCCCAGGGAATTGTTGCAATGGTGCATACACCTTCCTCATCTCCTCTGGGATCGGTGCTTCTCACCACATGCACAGGCCCTGCTAGGGTAGCAGAAAGCACTGTTGACAACATCCTGAAGGTGGTGGGGCAGGGAGAATGGGGGAAGAGGAGGAGGCTGTAGCTGTTTCACCATTGGTGGTCCATCCTGGCAAGAGGGTGACTGGCAGTTCACGATGCTACAGCGGGTCATGCCCTCCCCAACCCACCTATCTCTGAGACCATTGGACCTACTAATATGCCCTGTAGGTCATGATCCAGACTCCGAGAGTTATGCTGTCTACTGGGGTGTCAGGCTGTCTTTTCTACTGGTAACTCCATGACTCAGATACTGCAAGTGCTGGCTCTTCCATCCCACGCTCTCTGCCTGGTCACCTGCATATGTTAAGTCCCTTTAAAATAAAATTATCTGGGACCAGCGGATAGCATAATGGTTATATCACTGGACTCCCACCTGGTCGACCACAGTTTGAGTCCCGGGCCTGGCAGCTTAAAACTCATGCCAGGTGCATGTGCGTGCATGCCAAAAATCCAAGAAAATGGAGAAGGGATTGAGATGTGGTCATCCCCCATGGGGAGTGATTTCTCACTTTCTGTCTATCTCTGTCACATGTCCTATAGCAAAAATCTCTCTAAAACAACAACAATAATAATAAATAAAATAAATGATGTTTAAAGGAATTATTAATTTTATTTATTACTATTTTAATTTACTATAGGGCACATGGGTTCACCAGAGAGAGAGAGAGAGAGAATGAGAAAGCTAGTCTGGGACTGGGACTGTGGTCATTCATGGTAGGAGTCCAACACCTTAGCCATCCCGCCATCTGCTGGTTCCATTAAGTTACTTCTTTACAATTCTATTACCAGGAAGGAAGCAAAGAATTATTCCATTTACCTACTAAAAAAGAACAACAAAGGGGCCAGCAGGTGGTATGGTAGGTAGAGGTGCTGGAGTCCCACATGGTCAGCTGTGGTTTGAGTCCTAGACCTGGCAGCTTGCTTTCTCACTTTCTTTTTCTCTTTCTCTCTCTGTCTTCTTGGGTCAAATTAAAAAACAAAACAAAAACAAACAAACAAAAAACCCACTAATGACAACAAATGGAAATAAATATATCAATAATTCTTTTAAAAAAGGAGGGGGCAGGCGGCAGGAGACATGGTGGTTAAGAGTGCTGAACTCCCATGTTGCCAACCATGGTTTGAATTCTGGACTTGGTGGCTTGCTTTCTCACTTTCCCTCTCTCTCTTTCTCTCTCTCTTACTCTGTCCCTCTCTGACCAAATTTAAATAAATAAATAAATAAATAAATAAATAAATAAAGTTAAATCAAATACTTCTTTAAAAATAAAAAATAACAACAAAGGGGTCAGCAGATAGCATGGTGGTTAAGGCTCTGGACTCCCACGTGTCTGACTGCAGTTCAGGCCCTGGACCTGGTGGCTTGGAAATCACACCAGGTACATGTGCATGCATGCTCAGAATCCCAGGAGAATGAAGGAAAAGGGATTGTGGCATGGTACTCTTCCTCTCAGTCTCTCTCTGGTGAACGTGCACGCTCTATGGCAAAAACCTTTAAGAAAAAAAAGTTTTTGAAAACAAAACAAAACAAAACACTGGTTTCTACTTCTCTTTTAATAGAGCAACAGTTCATTTTTTCTAAATTATTCTCTAGTTTTTGTTCACAGTCAATTTGTTTTTTTTTAATAACTTTATTCTTTGTACAAAAGAGGTGCCTGAGTATTAAAAAGCTCTCAACAATTAAAAAGTACATGGAAGAGGGTAAAATAGAGCATTGATATTTCAGAACAGAATGCTGTTCTCGCCACGGTTGTCTATTGTTCTCGTATGAGTCACCAAAGTAAAATATCACCCTGTGGAACTTGGGTGTTTTTTTGTTAATTATTAAATAAAGGCAAACTTGGTGTTTGTGCTAGGAAGTACTAAGTATTGAATGCGCCAGGAACTTTTGTCAGTCCTGGGATTATGTGACATTTTCTAGACTAAAAACCGAGCCCCTTTGTACAAAGACATGGGAAACAAATTTCTCTTGACATTTTCTTTCTGTTGATCAGAGACCTGAGGCTCCCATCATTAAACCAAAAGCTGTAGATGTCTACCACCCAGCCTATAAACCTTCCAGAAGGATCAGGTACTGCTTTTCTTAGTAGAGTAAATGGATAATACTGTATTTTGTAATTCCTAGAAAAAAACTTCATCATTCCAATTTCTGTGAGGGATTTGAGCCTGACAAGAATCTGTCAGGAAAGGAGAAAGATTCATTATATCTCATAATTTCAAAGTTAGAGATTGCCCAGTTTCTATTTTGTGGCTCATATTTAGAGAAGAGGAAATGGCCCAGGTAGAAGAGGAAGCCCAAAGTCATGATGGACTGAGACCAGAGCTCGAGTTTCCAGATTCATACTCATTTGGAAACATTTGTTTTTATGTCTCTTAGAAAATGGGCAAAAGGCAAAAGGTAAAAAGCAAACAAACAAATAAACAAAAAACCAAGTCATTGAAATATAAGCTCAAGATAGGCTTTGCCAGTAATGCTTTCTGGATGAATGCAGAAAGTAAAGTTTGGGGCCAGCCCCTATCTGGTCTGGTGGCTGGACCGCACACGGCTGTCTGTGCAGCTAGAGTTCCAGATCCGGCAGCTCGAAAGCACACTGGCTATATGTGTATACAATGCCCAAAATCCCAAAAGGAGGGAGAAATGGAGGAAAAGGGATTATGGCATGATCATGCCTCATGGGGAGTGCTTTTCTACACCCCACCTCCCCAGCAAGCATTCCCGCCCTTTGGCAAAATTTTTTGAAATTCCTGCCCTTTGGCAAAATTTTTTGAAAAAGTAAAGTTTTCTGGAATGTTCCTTGACTTCTGATAGACTTTGGCAAGTGTTGCAGAATTAGACTGGTAGAAACATAAGGCCTCCCTAAAAAATTTCAGAACGTATTCTCTTACCCTTTTAAATGCAAAATCAGCAGATTGCAAAAGCACGTCCCCCCTGGAAGGCAGCATTTCTCCCTGTGAAAAAAGAAAGGAGAGGGCCGAGGTATTATCTGCCTACCTACTCAGACAGTTTCCCGTGTAGACCTGAGGCTCTGTAGGGCCCCCGAGTCGTGCTTTATGCCGGCATTGAGAGTTGTTGCACACGTGGGTGATAACGATAAGTAAATATTCTGTAGGGCCTTACAGGCTCACATCCCTCGAATTTTCCGTAATTGTTACTTGCTGACTTTAGTATAGTTTTATTATTATTATTATTTTAGAGAGAGATTTTTGCTATAAGGCACATGCACTCACCAGAGACACAGAGAGAGACAGAAAGCAAGAAATCACACCCATGAGGGAATGGCCATGCCATAATCCCTTCTCTTCCAGTCTCCTCTCAGGATTTTGGCCACACACACACACACACACACACACACACACACACACACGCCTGGTGTGAGTTTTAAACCACCAGGTCCAGGACTTGAACCATGGTCAACTACATGGAAGCCCAGTGATGTAACCATTGCGCTATCTGCTGGTCCCAGACATTAGCACAGTGTTAAGGGAGTGGAGAGCTTGCTCCTTAGGCCTCAAGGCCCGCAGGCTCCTCCTGAAGGAGGCACTTCCGCAGTACTGCCAGTCCTGAAAATCACTCCTGCCTTTATAGGTGTGCGGCCAGAGCTCCAAACATCAGGATCAAAGGTCGAACTGTCCCCAGAGAGACAGCCGGCTGCCAGGCAGACTGGAGCATGGAGAGCGCCGCAGGAGGGTTCCCGGCGGGCTTGAAGCTCGCTGTGCTCGGCATTGTCCTCATCGTGGTCTTTGTCTACATAACGGTGGAAAAGAAGCCGCTCTTCGGCTAGGTACCTGAGGGGCAAAACAATGAGTGTGCTTGAGGATGGCTCCAGCTTCAGGAAGGAACCAAAGGATTCCCCGGAAGGGGCAGGCCTGGCCCAGAGCGAGATGGCCTTTCCCGGCACTGGCACTGCTCGGGGCTCAGCCAGGTGGGAGGAGCAGCGCCCCAGGGAGTACCAGACACTGTATCGAGAGCGAGAGCGTGGTGATTAGGGAATATCCGCTGAGTCATGGAAAAAGGAAAAAAAGGCTTTCATTAAAGGTACTTCCCCATTCAAGCTGACTTCTAAAAAAGGAAACTCTACCTGACCTTTTTCTTTTAACTGGCGATAAACCATAAGAGCACACTTTATTTGCTCTTCAAATTGTGTAACATGTAGAAAGGACACAACGGCCAATTAACAAAAGACTGATATGTCTGGTTTAGCAAACACAAAGAAATGTCCAACGTCATGAAAGCAATGTAGAACGAAATAACATTTTTCCCTTTTTGAGGGAAAGGGGTATTTATTTATTTTGTGAGAGAGAGAGAGAGAGCAAAAAGACAAGCACCCACAACAGAGTTTTATGCTGCAATCCTCCTCCAGCCTTTCCCAGCCAGCCAAGATCATAGAGCGCGCGGGCACATGCACACCCACACACCTGGCATGTGCAGGTCAGTCAGGGATCCGAACCCTGATCTGCCACATGGCCTCAAGCACTACAGACTGTTGCACTCCCGCTGTGCCGCCATAGCTGATGCAATCCATTGTGTCTGTAATAAAGCCACCATAACCCCACCACCACCACCCCCAAATAGAGGAATGATGGCGGAACACGTGGAGATGCCTGAAGAGTAGTCCTGAGCGGAATGAAGCTCCACTCCCTTGCCCATATGCCTTGCCCTAGGTAGCGCTTCCATCCGGCTGCTCCTGTATCCTTCACAACATCCTTTATCGATAAGCTGGTAAACAAAAGTCAAGATTTCCTTAGTTCTGTGAGGTGCTCTAGCAAATTAATCTAAGCCAAAGAGGTCCAGAGAACCCGGAGATATACCCAGTTGGTCAGAAACACAGATAAAACAACCTGGGGCTTGCGATTGGCCTGTGACGTGGTGAAGTAGGCCAGCTGGAGGCCTAGCAGAATGGCCGCCATTTTGAAACTCGGAAAGGCCTCTGACAAGAACAATCTGACCAAGCGCAGAAACATGGGGAGGTCTGTTTGAGGAAAGGTCAGATGAGAGACTGGGATGGGTTTTTGAAGAAAAACAGAAATCAGGTTAATTACTTAAAGGAAAGTGACTGACTTTGATTGTCCTGAGGAACGATTTGCATGTGCTTGTATCGTGTATCTGTAAATATTAAACACTCGCTGAGCTTTTTGAGACAGTTTGGTGGCTGGTTGTCTCCCTGTCATCCGGTTGCAGAAATGAACTCCCTTTTTCCCCAGCCACTGATTCTCGTTTCATTGACCGTGAGTAGAAACAGCCAGACTTAGTGTGCCTGATATTGTTGGGGGTGTTTTGTGGAACTGAACCCTAAACCTGTGGGATCTGATGCTACCTCCAGATAGACAGTGTCAGGATTTCATTAAATTATAGGATCCTCCCATCGGTGTCTGCTGGGGAAGCTGGTGTCAGGATAGCTGGGTGTGCAGGGAACCGTCCACACATCAGGTGTCAGAAGCAGTGTGTGTGGCACTAGGAAAAAAACACGTGCTTCTGTAGGAAGATTCCCTAAGATTCCGGCCGGAGGACCAGTGGGTAGCCCATCAAGAGTCTGTGAACAAAGAGGGCTCATTCCCCATTTGAAAAAAGTCGTGTCTTCAAAGAAGAGACTTGGCCTGGCTGGTTGGTACAGAGCAGCTGGAGCAGTGGCTACCACAGGCTCAGTTCCTGAATGACCTACGCACATTGTGGCCCTGTGTGTCCGCCATCCTGGCTGGTGGGAAGGTTGGGGTGTGGGGGACTGTGACGAGGAATGCTATCTCTGACTTTTTCACTCTCACAAAAGACATAAACCCAAAGCAGGGGTGGGGAGGAAGCCTGTAGCACAAGGGTTAAGAGCTGTGTAGGGACCAGTGAGTGGTATAGTGGTTAAGGCGCTGGACATTCCCACATGGCTGACCACAGTTCGGGTCCTGGACCTGGTGGCTTGCTTTCTCACTTTCCCTCTCTCTCTCTCTCTCTCTCTGGTCAAATTAAAATGAATGAATGAATAAATAAAATGATATAAAATAATTCTTAAAAAAAAGCTGCGTAGAAGGAGCCAGATCCCACATGGTCAACTGTGGTTTGAATTCTGGCTCCAGCTGCTTGAAAAATATGCTGGGCACGTGCGTGCATGCCTGGTATCCTGGTGGGATGGGAAATAGAAGGAAAAAGGAGTGTAGCATGACCAGGCCCTGCTGGGGGCACTCTCTCTTTTTCTCTTCTGTACTTGCACACTCTGTGGCATTAAAATAAAAGAGAGTGACTTGAAAAGCAGAGGCCAGCAAGTGGTGTGGTGATTAAGTGCCTGGGCTTCCACATGGCCAATGGCAGCTCAAGTCCTGGACCTGGTGTCTTGCTTTCCCACTCACTCTCTCTCTCTCTGTGTCTCTCTGGTGAACACACATGCTCTATAGCAATTTAAAATAATAATAGTAAATAAAATTAAATAATTTTTAAAATATACGTAAGTTTGGTTCTAGACAATGTGTCATTCATTCAACAACTGATCAAGCATTTCCCTTGCACTTGGAATCAAGTGACAAATAAAATCAGTACAAGAGAAAGTCCCTGTTCTCATGGAGCACACCATCATTGGATGGAGGGAGATGAAGTCAATACCTTCCAGTATTGAGCGAGTCCTGCTGGTGGCACAGGGTGTCCTGGGAGCCCAGAAGAGGCCAGCCTTCTTAGACTTGAGGAGTGAACATAGAGAAAGTGGTATCCCAGCCGAAACCAGAAGGATGAGTAGGATTCCGTCCAAAGAGGGGAGAGACAAGTGGGCGAGGCTAGAGGGAAAGTCTGCCAGGCAGAGGGAACAGTACTTACAGAGCTAGTGTGGGAGGGAGACAGGAGGGGGTGGCGAGAGACGCTGCTAGGAAGGAAGCAGGCTCCAGATCGAGGCGGGACCTGGAGACCTTATCAAGGAAAATATAGTCTATATTAAGGGAAAGTTTGAACTTTAATCAAGGCCTGTGCATGAGAAAAGGCCTGTCTGCCTCCCTGGTTGTCTCCCTTGTCTGTTTTCATGACCTCTGAGAGCTAGGGAGGGACTTCTAAAGAGGCCCCAACCCAGAGCGCTGCTGGAACCCCTGGGGGACTCAGGAGAGCAGGCCGGTGTTAGCTTGTGGGGCCCTGGACACGTGCGTAGCCTGGCACTGTGAGGGGCACACTTTTGGACGTGCAGTTCGTGTGCCTTGACGAGGGTGGCCACCATGGCGACATTGTGGGAGCGAGTGCAGCAGAGAGGAAACCGGGGATGCTATCGCGAGGCTGAAAGGGCTGACATGAGACGGCTCCACGGGACCTCAGGGAGAGCAGAAGAGAGCAGCAGCTGCCTGCTGCAGATGGGGTGGGAGGGGAGCGGTTAAAGCCTTCTGCTCAGAGAGCTCTGAGAGTGCATTTGCTTTGTTTTGTGAATTTGTGATGTGACCCAAATGTTTCATGATCCTCTCACCTTTTTTTTTTTTTTTTAATTGCCGGAGTGCACTCATCAGAGAGAGACACAGAGAGAGAGGGGAAGTGAGAAACCCATCTGCTGGAAAAATGGTTGCCATGTAATCCCTTCTCCTACAATCTCCTCTCTTGGGGTTTTGAGCATGCATGCACACTCACCTGGCATTATTATTATTATTATTATTATTATTTAGAGGTTTTTGCTATAAGGCATGTGCACTTGCCAGAAAGACAGAGAGAGACAGAGACAGAAAGTGAGAAATCATCCCCCTAAATGGCCACGCCGCAATCCCTTCTCCTCCATTCTCCTTTCAGGATCCTGGGCATGCATGCACATGTGCCCAGTGTGAGTTTAAGCCTCCTGGTCTAGGACTCAAACTGTGGTTGACTGACTACATGGGAGTCCAGCGACAAAGCCATTACACCAACTGCTGGTCCCTCACCTGGCATGATTTTTAAGCTGTTGTGTTTGACTTGAATGGTGGAGTGGGCCATGCGGGATCCACACCATCTGCTGGCCCCCTGATCCTCTCTTAATGGCCCTCTTTCCCCTGGGAAGGTACAGGAGTGGGGCCAACTGATGTCTCAGGATCCCTGCTCTCCGTCGGTAGGAAGCAGCTGCTGTCTTGCAGATCTTGACAGAGGCTGACACAGGGAAGGCACCTCCATTACTGCCCTGCCCCTACGTGCTGCCCAAGACCGTAGCAGAGACTGTGCGTGCAGCAGTCTTTTCTGACATCTTAAATAGAATGGGGAAATTAAGGGAAATTAAAATGCGCAGAGGTGCCCTGGCACTGTAGCCTGTGGGTTAAGGGAGCCAGATCCCACATGGCTGACTGTGGTTCTTTTTTCTTTTTTAAAAATAGTTATTTTATTTAAGTTTATTTTTTTAATGACCAGAGAGGGACAGAGTGAGAGAGAGAGTGAGAGGGAAAGTGAGAAAGCAAGCTGCCAGATCTGGGGCTCGAACCACGATTGGCCACGTGGGAGTCCAGTGCTCTTAACCACCACGCCACTTGCCAGCCCCCTGACTATGATTCTAACCCCACCCCACTGGCTTGAAAAACACACTGTGTGTGTGTGTGTGTGTGTGTGTGTGTGTGTGTGTGTGCCCCAAATCCCTACAGTATGGAGAAATGGAAAAGGTTTGTAGCATGACCATGCCTAATTGGGGGATGTTTTTCCCTCTCTCTGTCTCTGTCTCTAGTGAGTGCAATTAAAAAAAATGTAGAGGAACAAAGCTTAACACTGGATACTAAATGAATCATTCCAGAATCCTAGGAAAAAGAAAACTTCTAACCCCGTTAAAGAGGCTCCCATTGCGGACGAGTTGCAGTTGCTGGCTTTGCTTCTCTGTCTCAGGTACTGTCCTTTCCCAAGCCACCACCTTGAATGCTGCAGAGTCCTCTACAGGACACAGCCACACTG